GGTCTCCGTTGCCATCATTTGGGAGTAATCCATGGCATCGCTGTTGACATAATCCATGTCTTCGCCGATTATTTCATCTGTTTGTACACAACTGTCAATCGTTTCGATTATCGTTTCCATCGGCTCTTCGTATTCTTCATCGGTTTGTACGCATTTGTGTCGCGCGGACACCAATCGCTGCCATTTGTGGATCAGTTGGTCGACATTGTGTCCAACGTTGGCGTCAATCAGCGCTGACTTCTTGGCCTTTAAATTGTATTTCTCGCGATGTATTGTCATTTGTCTCGTGTGTCCAATGGATGGATCAAATGCTGGACTCTTCTGCAACTCTACGACAATCTCTTCGTTCACTTGTGATAACTCACTGATTATGAGATCAGATGTCTTGAGATAATCGGCAAATCCGGCGATCGTTTGCCTCATTTCGCACAACTCTTTCTGAAACTCGAGGCAAATGTCGTTCAATGCGTTGTCGTATGGTTTCAATGGCAGCGAATCCATGGCTCGATGTCTTCCGCCACAGTCTTTGTGAACCAAGACTTGATCCCAAGATATGAATGAATATCACAATTGAATTCAATTCCAATTAGATGTCCAGCGAATACATTCCTCTTCAGTCTTCGTGTCCACACAAGTGTTGTAAACAAGATATGAATGAATCGATGATTGTTTTGATTGAATGGCAAAACACACGATCCGATTGTCACGTGATTTATAACAACCAATAATAACAACACGTGTTTTGAGCGCAATATTTGACTACATTTTTATAAATTAATAATTGATTTAATAATTCGTAAAATCAATAATTATCGCCAAATGAGACAATTTTATAATTAGTTTTATTAATTAAACATTTATAACACTTAAGTTTACAACACAAACATATTATAATTATTTAAATGATTGACATTTTTATGTTTAAACAATACATTTAATTTGATTTTCAATTTAAGTACAAATAGTTTTAATGCAAACATTTATTGATTAAAATAGATTTAAAATGTTTAGAAACAAACGGTTAATAGAGATTACAAAAAATACAGTTTATAGGAATTATGACTAAATGAAAATTAAATTCATAATTAAAATGATTATAAAATTAATGATTAATTAAAGGGAAATATGAGTTTAGAAAAGATGTGAAAAATATAATTACGAATGAAGTATTGGGAAAAACAGCAATTCATATAAAATACATAAAAATAAATACAAAATTAAATACCAAAAGTCATAATTGAAATCATATCAAACAGTAATTACTTAGTACAAAAAAAACCCAATTAATTGATAATTAACCGGTATTTGAATGAACCAAACGTGAGCGACATACGATGGGGTCATGTCGGGGGTCGACGTGCCCTATAAACATGTGGTGACTGTAGGCTCCGGGCCAACTGGTCCGGTACCCACATCCGGGCCAATCGCATACCAATGGCCGCGCGTTCAAGTGTTTAGCATTCTTATGGCCAAAGAGATTACCACTCGTTGTAGCGGTGAACTCGCACTGCGGCCAATCACACGCGTACGGTCTGACAGAGGATTGGCCACCACTGACATTCAGTTTCGGTGGTATCGCACCCGTTGTGTTGTGTGTCTTCATGTGTCGGATCAGATTGTGGTGATAGTTGGTGGAGAACACGCAGTCCGGGCACTGATACGGGCGCGGAGTGTCGACCACAGGCTTATAGTTCTTCAGCCACCATCGTTTGGGTCGACCCTTATTTGCGGCCATTTTGTTGGCCACACATTTGCCCCGCGTTTGGCGCCCATCGCTGTGCCCATCGGTTCCGTTCATTTGATTACCATTTGTTGTCTCATTAGTGGCCAAACACTCATCACTGGTGGGCACTGATAGTGTTGAACGCGTGTTATATCCGTTTCCACCACTTCTACCATCAATACCAATGTGTGACGAAATGGGATCAACCAATGCATCACTCGAAGCATGACTTGCGGGCGAAATAAATTTGAGATAAGCAGTGGCGAAGCCCGACGCCGAACACACAACGGATCCAGTGTTTGCACCAATCACTGGTGACTCGTTTGCCATCAATTCAACGCCATTTGATCCATCGGTGTCTGTCTGTGCGGTCACTTTGTTCTCCTCCTCAGCGCATTCATCGATATCAGTGGCCTCCGAGTCGATGGCATCGCTTGCGTCACAATTAGTGGTTTCAATAGCAATCGACTCGTCGTTCTCGTCATCACTGGTAAGACAAACGTCTTCACCAATTGTCTCACTTGTGTTACCATCGCTTCCATCGATGTCTCCGCTCTCGTCGTCGCTATTAGTGGCCTCCGAGTCGTTGGTATCACTCATGGCATCGAACAAAAATGTCTCCCAATCTGTGGTCTCCGTTGCCATCATTTGGGAGTAATCCATGTCATCATAAGTGTCCACATAATCCATGTCTTCGCCGATTGTCTCATCGGTTTGAATACATTTATCATTCGTTTCATTAGTCCTTTCGGCGGACTCTTTGCCTCTCGTGGACACCAATCGCTGCCATCTGTGGATCAATTGGTCGACATTTTGTCCAACATTAGCGTCAATCAGCGCTGACTTCTTGGCCTTTAGGTTGTATTTCTCGCGATGTATTGCCATTTGTCTCGTGTGTCCAATCGATGGATCAGATGCGGGACTTTGGATCTCTTCGATGGCTGTCGACAGTTCACTGATTATGACATCAGATGTCTTCTGACAATCAGCTAATCCACCGATTGTTGCCTTCATTTCTATCAACTCCTTCTGAAAGTCGAGGCAAATGTCGTTCAATGCGTTGTCGTATGTCTTCGACGGCAGCGAATCCATGGCTCGATGTCTTCGTCTCCAACCTTCGTGTTTGGGAAAGAGTTGATCCAAAGATATCAACGATTAAATCAATTGATTGCTTCACTCAATGGCCAAACATTTGTCGCAAAATAAACCATCAAATTGTCTGTTATTTATGTCAACCAATAATAACAACACGTGTTTTGAGCGCAATGTTTGAAATAAAATACTTTTTTTTATAAAATAAATGATTTAATAATTCGTAAAATTAATAATAATTATTAATTGATAATTATTATCACAAATCAGACAATTTTATAGTGATTTTAATTAAGTAAACATTTATAACATTTATTAGTTTACAACACAAACATATAATTATTTAAATGATTAACACTTTTATGTTTAAACAATTCATTTAATTTGATTTTCAATTAAAGTACAAATGGTTTTAATGCAAACATTCATTGATTAAAATAGATTTTAAATATTTATAAACAAATAGTTATTAGAGATTACAAAAAATACAGTTTATAGGAATAATGATTAAATGAAAATTAAATTCATAATTAAATTGATTATAAAATTAATGATTAATTAAAGGGAAATATGAGTTAAGAAAAATATGTGAAAAATATAGTTACGAATGACATTATCGTAAAAAACAGTTAAATAAATACAAAAAGTCATAATTGAAAAGTAAGATGTTATAATATTATTACTAATTACTTAATACAAAAAACCCTAATTAATAATTAATGGTTAATAGAGATTACAAAAAACAATTTATAGGATTTATGTTTAAATGATAATTAAATTCATAATTGAAATGATTATAAAATAAATGATTTATTTAAGGAAAATATAGTTTAGAAAAATATAGTTACGAATGAATTATCAGGAAAAATAGCAATTCATATAAAAATACATAAAAAATAGTTAATTAAATAAAAAATTAATTAAATACAAAGTCATAACTGAATACAAAAAACCCGAATTAATTAATAATTAACCGGTATTTGACTGAAGGCGTAATCGGGTGTTGGGCTCAAGTCGGGGGTCGCCGTGCATTAGAAACATGTGGTGGCCGTAGACTCCGTCTAACTGTTCCGGTACTCACATCCGGGCCAATCGCATACGAGTGGCCAAATTTTGTGAGGGTGATAGGGGCTGATATGTATAATCGGGTTTGTGTGTAAATGTGGTAGATTGTTGTAAATGTTTCAAATGTAGTTTCCAGTGATCAGCAAGGTTCTTTCGCCAATTGGCCCGGTACTCGCATCCGGGCCAATCACACCGGTATAGCCTCAGGTCCTTGTGTGCCATCATGTGATTGACCAGACAATCCGACCGGTAGGATGTATGGGTGCAGTCGGGCCACTGACACGCGTACTGACCATCGGCCAATCTCTTAAGGCCTTTACGCAATAGTTGTCGTTGGGATTGGATCTGATTTATGACCATTGGGTTGGAGACAGAGAGTGGCGCAGGTATAACGAGAGTGTGTGTAGGTTTGGTTGATTGTTGTAAATGTTTCAAATGTAGTTTCCTATGTTGAATGAGGTCCGTTTGCCAATTGGATCGGTACTGACATCGGGGCCAATCACACAGGAATAGCCTCTGGTCCTTGTGTGCGATCATGTGATCGACAAGTTTACCCTTGTGGTAGGATGTATGGGTGCAGTCGCGCCACTGACACGCGTACAGACCGACGGCCGATCTCTTAAGGCGTTTACGCAGTCGTTGTCGTTGGGATCGGATCTGATTTGTGGCCATTGTGTTGGAGACAGAGCTACTCATTGTTTGACGCCTATCGCTGTGGCTCTGGTTTGCGTCCGACATTTCATAAGCATTTGTTGTCTCATTAGTGGCCAAACACTCATCACTTGTGGGCATTGAAAGCGTTGCTGTAGTGGGAGAAACAGTGACTCGCATTGGGCTGACCGGAGGGCTGTCTTCAATTGTGATGACCTGTTGTGCGGTTACTGTGCTCTGCAATGGGTTGGCAGCGGTGGCCGGCAATGGCATTGCTATCGAGCTATCAATCGGAGTAATCGTTGTAGTGTTTATGCGACCAACTATTGGGGCGGATGTGAGACTTGTTTTAAAGCGGTTATTCGACGCGCTTTTGTCTGTATTTGTGTTTAAACATTATATTAATTATGGTCATAATTAATGTCACTTGAGTATAAAATGTGCTAGGTGAAATAAATGATACCAACCATTATTTGTAACTGGTGTCCGTAGCGCTGATATGGTGTGTGTTTGTGGTATAGTAGCCGTATGAGTATATGTGTTTGTCACATATCCACTGTACTGTGCATTATTATTACCATTAAAATAATTCCAGCTATAGATAGTGATTATAATTATATTATTATTATTTATTAAATACAACTTTTAAAAATATAACACAAATAAAAATAAATACCTATGATATAGATTGCGTTCACACGTACATAGATAACAATAGTTTGCTGGCACCACAATTTGACCATGATGGCAAACTCCATTATACCCAAATGGACTTAAAGTTGTGGAAGTGTTGGCATAAGAATTGTTCATTAGGTGACCATTTTGATTATGGTACGAACTAAACGAGTCAATTAAGGACAATCTGTGAACCTGATGATTGGTGGACACAAATTGTGACATAACCTGAGGCACAAACCGAGGCATAAAGTGAGTCATGTGGCCTATGGTTGTATTATTATAACCATGATGGCTCGTACGACTGGTCGGTCCCCAATTGGATGTCACATAATTACCAGCCCTTTGGGATCCACTGATAGACTGGTCAATGGAGGGATTTAATGGATCATTTGGGCCGATATCTATCGATAATGTGTGCGACAAATTAGTGGCAGTATTAGTGTCTCTCGAGTGGCCATCAATTGGCTGAGCGGGCGGACACGGGGAGGCACTTTGGCTACCAGTCACCTGATTGTGATAAATGTATTACTAATTAAGCTTACATGTTAAATTAACTTTATTATTAATTATCATTTATCATAAAATTATCTTAAATGTTAAAAATAAGTTATTCTCTTACATCAGGCGATTGAACAGCAATTAATTGACTCAATCGGTGCTCTTTAGATGCCTCGAGTTTGTGGTGAAGTAGTCGACAAAACTCGCAAATTGGTCCGCATTTACGGCACATAATCACCACAGTCTGGCCGCGGACTCCATTGCACGACTCGCACACCATTTGAGAGTTCATTATTATTATGTGTTTCAAAAAACTAAAACTTTTGCTTAAAAAACTTTTTTTGCGAGTATTTTATAGACAAAGGAATTGAATGAAGTTTGAAAAACAACTAAAATTCTATTGGGTTTCAAAGTGGGGCTCAAGATATTTGGGAACAGGGAGTCTGAGAGTGCCTTTTAGTGCCGTTTCAATCATTTTGGCTAACAATCAGTTATTGCATATCCATTATGCAATCTCTCTCTCTCTCTCTCTCTCTCTCTCTCTCTCTCAGTATATGAGTGTTTGCAATAAACGAGAGAGAGAGAGAGAGAGAGAGATTATTGTCAATAATTTATTGATAATCGAGAAAATGAAAAAACTTTCAAGATAATGTTTTTGTATAATTATATGTTTGAATGTTAGCACTTGTACTACAGTTCCCTCAATAGCACCCAACAGACCCCCAACAGAGTATCATAAACCAGGTATTGTGATCTCCCGGTGAGACCATTATAGTGACAATTATTATGGTTAGGAACAAAGTTTACATGCAGTACATCAACACTACTTTCCGTTAACTAACACATATAAATGTAAATGTGATTTTTAAAATACTAAAACTAAAATAAAAATTCAAAATATGGCACAAATACCTTGTGTTTAAACATTCAATACTTAAGAATTATATACCGTTTTTATAAATATTTATTAAAAGTTTTCAAATAGTTTATAACTACAATTTTAATCAAAATACTGTAAGTGCTTAAAATTGTTAATTTAATAACTTGTGTGTGTTTTTAATTAAAACCTTTAATAAAATAAAATCAATGAATACTAATTATTTATAAGTTATACAAAATATTTCTAAATATCTAAAAATAAAATTACATATGAAAATATCTAGTTTAATTAACAATCTTAATCCATAGTCTACTGTTCACTAAAAGGACCGGAACTTTTATAAGTGCTTTTAAAACCTCGGGGTAAAAGGTTGGCCGAAAAAGTAGGCAATGGTTGGGACACTGTTTTCTTGAGCACTGGTTTTGGGTTAAAATCGGGTTTTGGCTGTAAACTAGGCTTTGCTTTCAACGGCGGCTTTGGCTTTACTTCGGGTTTTGGTGAAACATCGGGCTGTTTCTCAATCAATGTCTGCATCTCTGAAGCTAAATCATTGTTACAATTAAATGAATGAATGTAGATAAATATAATATACAAACTAACTCACCACCATGTAATCCTTTTTCATTAATCTCTTTCTCCACTAATTGCCATTTGTCTGAAACTAAACCCACAATTAATTAGCTATAGATAAATAAATTAATGTAAAAAACAAACTCACAATCAAATGTTGCATTATTCTCGTTTAGCCTAACAGGCATTGAATTGCGTTTTGCATTCAAACCCGGCTGAATCTCTGAAGCTTAAACATAACAAGTTGAGTATAATTAAATAAATTGCATGATAAATACACATTACTAAATAATACCAACCATCATCTGTTGATTTAGCCTCGTTCAGTTTGACAGGCATTAAATTAAGTTTTGCATTTAAATCATTGAGAAACGGACTTTTAATTTTAGTTTTAGTTATATTATTACTTTTGATTGTAGTGTCGACAATAGTTTTATTGTGATTACCATTAGTATTAGTAACATTAGGGTTATTTTCAAAAATATTATTACTTGCAATTACCATATTAGGAATAGTTGCAGTACTGGTGCCAATATTTTCAATACTTATAGTGTTGTAATTAATAATATTGTTACTTTTAATTGCATTATCGGGAATAGATGTAGTAGTATTACCATCAACAGTATCAAAGGTATAGTTACTTTTAGTAATATTATTACTTTCAATACTACCATTGATTTCAACGAGTTTTGCATTACTTTTTGCAATATTATCATTAGCTTTAAAATTATTTAATTCGGGTTTTGGTTTTACATCGGGCTGTTTCTCGATCAATGTTTGTGTCTCTGAAGCTAAATCATAATTACAATTAAATGAATGAATGCAGAAAAATATAATATACAAGCTAACTCACCACCATTTAATTGTTTATCATTAATCTCTTTCTCCACCAATTGCCACTTGTCTGAAACTAAACCATAATTAATTAACTATAGATAAATGAATTAATGTAAAAAACAAACTTACAATCAAATGTTGCATTATTCTCGTTTAGGCTAACAGGCATTGAATTACGTTTTGCATTCAACCCCCGCTGAATCTCTGAAACTTAAACAAAAACATATTGGTTATAATTAAATAAATTACATGGTAAAAATAAAATTTCCAATATTAAATAATACCAACCATCATTTGAGGATTTAGCCTCGTTCAGTTTGACAGGCATTAAATAAAGTTTTGCATTTAACTCATTGAGAAACGGACTTTCAATTTTAGTTTTAGTTATATTATTACTTTTGATTGTAGTGTCGACAATAGTTTTATTATAATTGCCATTAGTATTAGTAATATTAGGGTTATTTTTAATAATATTATTACTTGCGATTGCCATATCAGGAATAGTTTCAATACTAATATTGTTGTAATTAATAATATTGTTACTTTTAATTACATTATCGGGAATAGATGTTATATTATTACCGTCAATAGTATCATAAAAAGTATCGTTACTTTTAGTAATATTATTACTATTAATTACAGTATCGCGAAAGGGATTGGGATTTGATTTAGTATTATTGCCATTGATTTCAATTGCATTAGCGATAGATTCAATCATAGTATGGCTTTTGACTATAATATCGGGAACTTTATTGGGAATAGTTTTAATAATATTGCCATAACTTTCAAACATGTTATTACTTTCAATACTTGTATTGTTTTCAAAAAGTTTTGCATTACTTTTTGCAATATTCTCATTGGTTTTAATAGTATTATTACTTTTACTTTCAATTAGATTATTATTGCTCTCAATAATAGTGTTGTTATTATTAGTTGCCGATAATTTGGGCATTAAATACAGTGTATTATAGCTTATCAGATATTCATTGGCGTAAAAGTCGACAAAATTACCATAATTTGCGTCAACGAATGCGTTTGTATCAGTGATCTTATAAATCCTACCCTCGGCTAAGACTGTGACAAAATCAAAGTACGGGTGATTGATATTTCCATTAAACTGTTGTATGTCTTGAACGGCGAGTCCGGTCTGAAGACGTTTGGGAACCGCTTCGCCGACAAAGCCATCTCTTTGCCACAAAAAACCGCAAAAATACACAAAACCACTACTCGTGAGGAAATACGTCAATCGGATGCCGGAGACCACTGTCTGGACACCGGTTAGCGTTGATATCAAACGCGGTGTAAATACAATCTCGTCGCTCACGTTATGACCCAACCTATTATACTGATTGTCACCCCAACTGAATACCTGGCCATCGGCTGTCACAGCGAATGAACTCGTATTAAAACAGTGAACGTATTTAATGGTCGGACACCCGCCGGGAAAGTCTATGGCAGTGGGTTTGCCGCTATAACCAGTGGTTCCAGTGGTGTGATGGCCGACCTGGCCGTACCTGTTGTCTCCCCAGGCGTACACCCGGCCATTGCCGGTCAGGGCCAGAGAGTGGTGATCGGCGCAACATAGCTGAACTATCAGGTTTGACCATGGTATTTTGTCCGGTACCGCGTGTAAAGATTCATGTAAAGTATCACGACCCAGCTGACCATGCTCATTTTTGCCCCAACTATAGATACAGTTAGTGGCATCCAATGCCAGTGCAAATGTTGCTCCGATAGCGAATTGCTGGATCCGTTTTAGCGATAATTGCGGTATTTGTTGCGCCGATTGTACGGCCCGGTCGTGACCCAAACCCAGACACCCGTCGCTGTTGGCGCCCAACCCATAGGCGGTGTCGTCGGCCGTAACGTACATTATATTGCGCTCATTGTGTGAGTCGATGAACACGTGAAATAGCGATATGTTTTGCTTGATTTCTGGCGCAATGTTCCCGCAAATTGGGAATATTTCCAATAGTGAACACATAATTAGTTTAATTTACACAAAATATTCAATAATTTATTGATGTTAAAATA